CTATTGTTGATGCTACACTTCCCGAACTGCTTAATATCGTTGATGGTCGCGCGCTGTTACTGCTTCTTCTTGAACTGCTTACACTCTGTGGTAACGAACTACTTATGCTCAGTGGTTTCAGGGTTTGAGGGCTCAGGGCATAGAGGTTGAGTTGTGGGACTTGGGGCTAAGCCAAGGTTTTGGAGTCTGCGTGTTTGTTTTAAGGTGAAGTTTTGGTGGGTCAGTTTCGGGGGTCTGGGTCGGAGCTTCCTGGCAATCCCAACCTAATGCCCCCAAAACCCTAAACCCCCAAACCCTAGACCCTAAACCCTCGCTGAATTACGGGTTGTAGTCACAGCCGCAACTGGGTGACTTGAGCCTCTTCAAACAGCAAGCCCCTAAAAGTCTTGAGCATAACCTCGGCCTTCAAAATTCGATTTCCGGCCAAGGACCTCAGCAACTAGTAACTACTGTTGATGATATACATCCTGCATTACCTTAAGGATCCTAAACTATGGGAATTATGGTCTCTCCCTTATTATGGGTACTGCAGGATTTTAAATCATCAACAGTAGTAACTAGTAGCAATGTCGTTCTGAGCCTCTAACTTTTGGGGTGTCTTGAAACGGACCAAGACATCTGTGGGTTAGTTGTTTAGTTGTGCCAGATGTTCTGACATGGTGCTTCAAGGTCAAAGGTGGTACAATTACAAGGCAGAGGCAGGAGTTGAGGGTGGAGGAATTAGACCAGCATTGGGGAGGTAAAGATACGCTCCGGTTAGAGATCTTCATACCCACAAACTTAGTGCAGGCGACGATCCTGGCCATTGCAGCTTCAACCGAGGACGCTGTGGTAGATGGGTGTTCTTGCATGGCATCAAAACCGACCTCAGGTAGACCCCTCTTCGATCCCTGCATATTGTCATGGTTTTCAGACGGAAAATCCTAACAAGGAGGCACCACGTAGGCTTTAGGGTGTAGGGCTTTGCAGTGAGGAGTTTGCATTGCTTACTAATCAAGCCCCAAAGCAGGACCCCGAATTGTCAATAACTTCTAAAAGACCCTAGAAGAGCTCGTCGAAGACTTTGACCAACATTCAAGAAGTTGTTCAACTGTGCCGCTTCTAAACCGGACCACGAGTAACTTGCGGATGTAACAGCAACTTCGACCTTCGCCATGGAAAGTTGTTTGAAACAAGTGCAAGCACGCCGGTGTTACAGAACGTCGTGATTCGCGTGTTGAGATGAACGAATAGAGGCAATAATTACCAATACTATGTTACATTAAAAGTATAGTATTATATACCCCCAAAACGTGATTCTTATTATTATGGCCCTTAAACCCTAAACCATTTGAGTTGCCCTTATAGAACCCGTTAAGGAACCCTTTAAAGGAACCCCCAACCCAAGAACGCTAGTCTAATCAATAAAGCCCCGACATTAATGGAGCTGATCCTAGTGTGGCCGGCCCGTCCCCTGGCCTGCCTCCGTAGAACAGTGCCTTACCTTGACCTACCAAAACCTACTTTTTTGTAGGTTCTTATTATAAGGCCTTATGTGGAGTTTATAGGGACCCTACAAAAAAGTAGGTTCTGGCGGGTTAAGGTAATAATTAGAATAGGGCTCCGTTGAAGAGCTCCTAAAGGGTTCTATAAGGGATCTATAATAGGACCCTATGGTGTAGGGGCCTGAATAATTAGAGTAGGGCTTGAGGGTATACTACGTATACTATAATGATACTAAGGAACCCCCAAACCCTATTCTGCTTATTAAGGCCCCTTACATCACTGGAACGCAGTAAGGGCTTCAGCTTCAATCGCGTAGTTCTCTGAATTAGGCCACTTTTGAGTCCATACTGTTGATGGACAAAATTCTGCATGACCCAAATATAGTATAGTACCATAAATCCCATAGTTTAGGTATGTAAGGTCATGCAGGATTTTGTCCATCAGCTGTATTAGTCCCCAAAATGGTACGGCACCCTTATACGAAAGGACCCTACTAAAAGTACCCTCTTAGGGGCTTCAGACTTCATGAACGATGTGGAAACTGGCGGAATGACGTCAACTCTTGCGTATCAGTTGGCACTCTGAGGGTCCCCGCATCCAAACAGTCGAGTCCGACACCTGCTGGGTCCCCAGAGACTCCAATATTCCTTAATTAAGGAATATTCCTTAAATTCTAGTAGGATCCTTAATAGGATTTAAGGTATATTCCTTAATTAAGGGATATTGGAGTCTCTCGGTCGGAGGATTGAGTTGGAGCGGGGAACCCTTCCAGCATGTTCCAGAAGCTTATTCAGCCTGGGTTCTGTGAGGTGAGGGGGGTTTTGGGGGGACTGAGCGAGTGAGTCATTCAGCAGGGCTAGAAGTAGGCGAATCCGAACTTGTGGGGAAAGTACTTTTGAGTCTACTTTGTATCTACCCCCGGCCCCTATTTTATTTCGGATCCTATCGGCCGTGGGCCTATCCTTAGTCAGGGCGAGGCGGCCGTTGCTCAGGGCTCAAAATTTACTTCGCAGCTCAATCCATTGTTTAGGGTTCAGGGAGCTGGCATTATAACTAGAGCTGCTTCGCAATGAGGTGGTGTAGACCCCGAGAACATCCGACAGAAAGCCCTCCAAGTGCATATACCGCAGCCCCCCCCAAAAAACGTATCAACCTCCCGTGTTACGTACCTTTGGCTCCCACCCTAAACCCCTAAACCGTAAACCCCCTAAACCCTGATAAAAATTATAAGGCCCTGAACTCAGAGGATCCCGAAATGGGGTCGGCATCAAGTGCCGCCTTGACAGCCTTGCAGAAACACGCCGCTGTAGGCCGGGGGATGTCTGTGCGGAGTAGTTAGAGCTTCAGGGTTTAGGGCTTCGGGTTTAGGGGTTTAGGGTTCAGGGTTTTGGGCTTTGGGTTTAGGGTTTAGGGTTTCGGGGGCAGAATACCTGGACCCCACAGGTCATTTCTAAATAAACCTGTCAGAACGACTTGTAAGACAGAGGTCAGTATAGTAGATTTGATTCTCATTGTGCTTGTATTGCAACATACCCTGGGTAAGTCAGTACCAATAACTATAGTTGCTATACCCATGACTCTAGTTACGAAGTCCCATGATAGTCCAAATCCTGAACCCCTAGAGATCCCTTTTTAAAGAACCCTTTAAGGAGCCCTGTTACGAAGTCCCATGATCCTCCAAGTACGTCCCCAAGCAAAGGAAACCCTGCATGTCTGTTTGTCTGTCTGTCTGTCTGTCTGTATGTATGTGTGTATATGTTGTATATAATCACCCGTAACACTGCCATCCGTATGTAGCAAGTGCCGTACCTGAAACCTCGAAACCCTCCCTCTGCTAAGGACGTATGATGTAAGAAGAGACCCTAAACTAAACCCTAAACCCTAAACCCTAAACCCTAAACCCTAAACCCTAAACCCTAAACCCTAAACCCTAGCCTTTAGGCCTAAACCCGACCCCCAACAAGACACCTTCAGCGCAAGGCTCCGCGGAGATCACCTCGGCTCCGGGTGCGCCAGAGCTGTTCCTGGGGAAGCGCTGGGGGGTCGCCTTCGGTTCAGTGCCTAGTTGTGGGGTTTAGGGCTTAGGCTTTAGGGTTTAGGGTTTAGGGTTTGGGGTTTAGGGTTTCGGGTTTAGGGCTTGGGGTTTAGGGCCTACTTGGAGGGTCCAGAGGACTTGGTTTGAGAGGGCTGAGGAAAGTAGGGGCCTAAGTAATTACCCATACTATTTTGGGGGGGCTCCTTATCAATGTTGATAATATAATGGGTCCCAACACCCTATTCTAATTATTAAGGCCACAATATTATGCAATTATTCAGTGGGGTCATATGTAGGAGGTCCCCAATGAGGGTTTCGTTGTGCTCAAAGCTCCACTTATTGCCTAGTTAGAGGCTCATGGGACTTCGTAGGCAAGGTTATATGTATCTTAAATGGGGTTAGAGGTGATTATACTTGTAGTTGGCCTTGTAGTTACCTTATTCTTATACCTCTAGTTACTAAGTCCCATGATCCTCTACTTTTCCCTAAACCCCTAGTAGAGGACCCATACAGATCCCTTAGAGGAACCTCTATCCCTGGTTTCCGGGTTTAGGGTTTAGGGTTTAGGGTTTAGGGTTTATCCAGCGCCTAGTTACAAAGTCCCGGAAGCCTTCAGCGTCGAAATTCCCAAGGCCTTCAAGGGATCCAAGTGATGAGCCCAGACCTTGAATCCCTTAATTAAGGAATATACCTTAAATCATATCAGGAACCCTACTATAATTTAAGGTGTACTCCTTTAGTAACGGATTTTGGAAGTTCTGGGAGAGCCTGAACCTGGCGGAACCTGATCTTCTAAGGGCTTATTAATTATGAGTATGGTCATTTTTCTTATGAATGTAGTAATGTTAGTATTATTATATGTTACTAGTGTTGAAATTCTTCATGGTTCGTACTATTCTCATGATTATGACTTCCTCATATAATAAGCCGTCAAACAGGTAGGTTTCTTGGGGTTCAGGGATACCTTGACAACGGACATATGTCAACCTATAGAATGGTAGGACACTTTTGGAGGGGGGAGGGGGAGATCCAGATCATGTTTGACCCTTCGAAGGGCTTGGGTGTCCAGTGTCTCCCCAGGGGTGTTGTTGTTCCTTTTCTTCATCTTTGCCGAAGGGTTCTTATTCGTGTTATAAACTGAGCTGAGGGGCTCTGTTTCTAAAGGTGGTGGGTTTGTGTCCTCTGGGTAGTGTCCGGAGTCTAGGCTTTAGGGTAGGGTTTAGGGTTTCGGGCTTAGGGTTTAGGATGTAGGGTTTCGTGTGTAGGGTTTCGGGTTTAGGGATTAGGGATCTGAGGAGCATCGTCGTCCAATTCCGAGCCGGCGGTGACGGACAGCGAGAGCGCGTGTTGCGAGCTGCTCGGATCTGAAAGAACAACCCCGCTGGCCCACTGAACACAACTAACCCACCTTTTCAAGGATAATGTGGGGGTTGAAATACTTGCCAATACTGTTTTTGTTGGGGGGGGGGGGGTCCTTATATTATAAGTATAGCTTAATGGGCCCCTCAAAACCCCTATTCAAATTATTCAGGCCCTTAAACACTAAACCCTTAGAGTAGACCTTATAGAACCCTTCAAGGAACCCTTTAAACGAACCCCGAGAACCCGATTCTAATTACCCAGAGACTCCAATGTTCCTTAATTGAGGAAAGTACCTTAAATTATAATAGGATCCCTAATATGATTTAAACCCTAAACCCTAAACCCTAAACCCTAAACCCTAAACCGCGGTATATTACTTAGTTAAGGGACATCGGAGGCTCTGGGTAATCATTGAGGTCCCTATGTTAAATGTTTGTCAGGTGGGGGTTTGGACTTACATCCCAAAGCCCGAAAGCCGAAGACCCTTATAATGCAGAGGTCCAAAGAATTAGTAGCTTAGGGGTGTAGTGTAGTTCTACTTTCTATAAAATGCTGTAAGCCCCCTGTAGCAGAGTTCCCATTATTAGAAGCTCTCGTAGTACCCTCAAGAAGAACGCTTACAAGGACATCCGACCCCCCATGCTGAGCATTAAACACCATCCTTACACCTCAGCCTAAACCTTTGGCACCCTCTAAAGGGAATCCAATTATGGAGCCCTAAAACCCTAAAACCTAAACCGGGATTCTATAGTAACCTTTAAACCCTAAACCCTAAACCCTAAACCCCTCAGCCCTAAACCCCAAACCCCTGAACCCTAAACCCTTTCAAGGAGCCGTTAAGCTAAAACCCGCAAGGAGATGATCTTCAGCCTGGAGGACTTAGGCAGGGAAATACCAGCAGTGCTTCTGGGAATCCTGGGTTTGGAGTTCAAGGATTTAGGGGTTCAGGGTTTAGAGTTTGAGGGTTGAGTCTCGGGCGTTTGGGGTTCAGGGTTTAAGGTTCACGAGGGTTAAGGGTGCAAGTCGGGTTGAGGGACACTACAGCTGGATTTCGATTAGGCTAGGGTTGAGGGCACAGGGTTTCAGCGTTTGGCCCATACGGTTTCTAGGGCTCAGAGAAGACAAGGTTGTAGCGGTGAAAATGTCAGACAATGTAGCGGCTAGTGGGTTTGCTTGATTCTCCAGGGATATCCAGAACCGTATTTATTGCTTAATTTCTACGGTGAGTAGAGCTAGTGTTTCACGGGCCTTGAGCCCTGAATCCCCTAACCTCATGGGTGCGAGGAAGACTCCTTTCTTCCGAACATCACAAGACCCGATAAAGTTAAAGCTCAATAAACACCCTGTATATCTCCCACAACCAAACTCTGGTGACCCTAAACCCCAAACCCTATAGACCCTAAACCCTATAGATCCTAAAGCCTAAACCCCTAAACCCTAAACACCCCTGTGTTTTGGCAAGGGTCTAATTACTTCAGAACAAAGCAGGGCCGAGATATCTTTCTAAGGTCTAAGACTAAGATCCAAAACTCAAAACACGAACACTAAGCCCGGAAACCTCTGAAATATGCAAACCCTTACCGCTTTCGACGAACATGCGAAGGCATGGACAAGGCCATAAACCCTTTGTAAATCTACAAAAACTCATTAAGCCCTACAGAGTCGCTACATAAACACTATAGAACTCTGAAACCCAGTATGGGGGTTTCCGAAAATAGGGGGCCCCAATGCAGTACCCTAAACAGCAGTTACCTTATTATAAGGACCACCAATAGAAGGCACCCCTTCTTTTCGGAAACTCCCAGATGGCACCAAGAGCCCCAGCTCCCTCGCAACACGAAACAGTCGGAGGCATGAACCCTTACTTAATCCCTAAACTGCTACATTGCCAAACTAGGCTTTAGGGTTTTTGGCTTGGGGGGTTTATGGTTTAGGACAGACCCTGAATCCTAAGTGCTTTAAAATTGTGAAGGCCTGGACAACGTCCGCGTCGCGCAAGCGGCTTCTCAGTCGCCCTTGCAGCGAGCGCAGGCGGCTCCGTCGCAGGTGTTGTGACCCTCAACCCTAACCCGAAGCTTCCAAGGACCTTATAGTTAGGGCCCCAGGCCCTTTACGGACCTAATAGTGAGGTCCCTGGAAGCCTAGGCTAAAGCAAAACCCTGAACCCTGTAAACCCTGAACCCTAAACCCTCAACCCTCAACCATGAAACAATGAACCCTGAACCCTAAACCCTAAACCCTATAAGCCCTGAACAACCCTAGACCAAAAACCATGAAAACCGGGGCCCTGCACTTACTGTTGACCCACTGACGTAGGGACCTGATTATAAGAAACCCTAGTCTTATAGCCCCAAAATAGTAGGATTCATATAAGGACCCCGAATCAAGACCCAGGATTTCTTAGACAGGTTCCTATATCAGGGGTTGCAGGTGTTTGGTCTTTTTGTGGTTCTATACGGGGTCTATGTATGGGTGTTATGGGCAAGTGTTTAGAGTTCTTTATGGGTTCTATAAAGGATCTAAACCCTAAACCCTAAACCCTAAACCCTAAACCCTAAACCCTAAAACCCTAAACCCTAAACCCTAAACCCACATGGCACTACTCATCCGGTAATCCATGTTCCGTAGGGGACAGCATAGCTTCCAAAGGAATCTAGCACTGTTCTGCCGAAAATTGTTATAAAACCCTACGAATCCGTGAACCTGAAAACTCCAACAAACCCTAAAGCCTAAGAAAATCGAACCCTAAGTCTTAAACTCTAAGGCCTTAAACCCTAAACCTTTAACCCTAAACCTTAAATCTTCAAGCCCTAAACCTTAAACCCTAAACCCTATACCCTAAACTCACAGGCCCTAACAACTCTTACCCCAAGGGTCCAATGTACCTATATAGTAGAATGTAGGGTTTCTATATTATAAATTAGGAATTACTATCATGATTTAGGGAAGTATCCCCCATAACAGTACATAGGACCCTTTGGGTTAGAACTTTGAACCCTACCTCGGTGCTGCAAGGCGCGAAGGGCCTCGGAAGCCGTTGGCTGGCAACTGCCCTGAACTTCAAAGTACTCTTTATGCTTCTTCAGGGGTTTAGGGTTGAGGGGTACTCTGTATGCTTCTTCAGGGGTTTAGGGTTGAGGGGTACTCTGTATGCTTCTTCAGGGTTTTAGGGTTGAGGGGTACTCTGTATGCTTCTTCTGGGGTTTAGGGTTAAGGGTTTAGGGATACTCTGTATGCTTCTTCTGGGGTTTAGGGTTAAGGGTTTAGGGATACTCTGTATGCTTCTTCAGGGGCGTAGGGTTTTAGGGCTACTCTGTATGCTTCTTCAGGGGCTTTGGGATTAGGGTTGAGGGGTACTCTGTATGCTTCTTCAGGGGTTTAGGGTTAAGGGTTTAGGGGTACTCTGTATGCTTCTTCAGGGGCGTAGGGTTTAGGGCTAGTCTGTATGCTTCTTCAGGGGCTTTGGGTTTAGGGTTGAGGGGTACTCTATATGCTTCTTCAGGGGTTTAGGGTTTTGGGTTTTGGGTTTAGCGGTACTCTGTGTGCTTCTTCAGGGCTTTAGAGTTTAGGGTTTCGAAACCCTAAACCCTAAACCCCTTATAGAAGCATACAGAGTACTTTGAAGTGCGGTTTTCCCATTTAGGGGTTTCCGAAAATAGGGGACCCTAATATAGTACCTTAAATAGTAGGATGCTTATTATAAGGACCCCAAAATAAAGTACCCCTTGTTTTCGGAAACTCCCATTTTAAAGGGTTTCGGGCAATTTTCGGCGTCTCTGGTTTCGGCCTCCCGGAGTTGGGGCCGCTAGCCACTACAGTGCTGTTGGGTCGTTCTTTTGGGGCTGAGGCTTCGACTTATTAGAAGTTAGGGTTTAGGGCTTAGGGTTTTATTGAGCTTGCTTCGTGCGCGGGGTGCGTTTGTGAGTTCTTTAAAACTAGGGTGTATGTTTGGGTTTGCCCCTAAACCCTAAACCCTAAACCCTAAACCCTAAACCCTAAACCCTAAACCCTAAACCCTATTTGGGATTTGGCCTGGGGGCTGGAGGGATGTAGGGCTGGGGGGTCAACGCCTGGGGCCCAGGGGCAAGAGTTTAGGGTTTTAGGGTTTAGGGTTTAGGGTTTAGGGTTTAGGGTTTAGGGTTTAGGGTTTAGAGCCGGAGGGGGTTGATGGCTTCTCTTCGTCCTATTAGGTTCTCTGTGCTTTTTTCTGAGTTTATCTGAGGTTGTTTGAGATTCTTTGGGTTGTTTGAATTTATTTTAGTTTGATTCAGTTTTCTGAATTTTCTTAATTTCTCTGAGTTCTTCGAGTTTCTCTGAGTCTTTCTGAATTTCTTTGAGTTTCTCTGAATTTAAATCTCTGAGTTTCTTTGAACTGTTCGAGTTTCTCTGAGTTTCTTGAAACTTCTCTGTGTTTTTAGTTTCTCTGAGCTTCTTTGTTTTTTCTCTGAGTTTCTTTGAGTTGTTTGTTAGAGTTTCTCTGAGTTTCTGTAATTTTTTTCTTCGAATTTCTCTGGGTTTCTTTCAATTTTTTGAATTTCTCTGAGTTTTCTGAGTTTATGATGCGTTTGATTGAATTTCTTTGAGTGAGTCCATTTGAAATGAATTCAGTTGAGTTTTTGGAGATGTTCTGAATTTTCAGTTTTTCTGACTTTCCCTGATTTTCTTTGAACTTTTTGATCTTCTCTGAGTTTCTTTGAATGTCTCTGAGTTTTCCTGAGTTTGATTGAGTGTTTTGAGTTTCTTTGAGTTTCTTTCATAGGACTTGTTTGAGTTTTTTCTGAAGCTCATGGCTAAGCGCCAGGATGGCAAGAAGCCCCTTGCGATCTTCTGGAAGGGCAAACGTCGCCTGCAAGTCCGGAAGAGGGGCGATGGGAGAAAGGTGGCCGTAGAGCGCACCAGGAGGCGAGGAGGGCGGAAACTTGCGAAGACGCTGCGCCGTCTGTTCCACTACCCAGACGAGATCCCACTGTCGTCAAGGAGAATATCTACTCTTGGCGACGTGCAGGGTTCAGCCAAGTGGTATGGTGGTATGGTGCTTCCATCCCTTCCCTGGTATGAAAGGAGTCAGTGTCAAGAAAGCCACGAAAGCGATCCCCCGGAAGCGTTTCGATTCGTTGATCGCACATGGGGTCTCAGCATCACACATCAAAGAGGAAGTGTGCATGTCTGCGGTGAAACTTATCTGAGTTTCTCTGGGTTTGATTGATTTTTTGGTTTTTTTCTGAGTTTCTACAAATTTCTCTGAGTTGTTCTGATTTCTCTGAGTTTCAAAGATTTTAGTTTCTTTGAGTTTCTCTGAAATTCCTGGAATTTTCGATCAGTTTCTCTGAATTTTTTGAGTTTTTCTGAGTTTCTTCAAGTTTCTCTGAGTTTTTCTGAGTTCCTTTGAGTTTCTCTGAGTCTTTCTGATCTTATATTTTTTTGAGTTTCTGTGGGTTTCTCTGAATTGCTCTGAGTTTCTCTTAGTTTCATAGAATTTTTAGATCTTCTCTGATTTTCCTAAAGTTTCTGAGTTTTTCTGTGTTTCTTTGAGCTACTCTGAGTTTTCTGGTTATTCTGGATTTTTTTGAATTTCTCTAAGTGAATTTATTTGAGTTTCATTGAGTTTTCCTGAGTTCTTTGAGTTGCTTATGTGAGTTTTGCTGACCTTCTTTGATTTTTTTGGTTGAGTTTCTCTCAGGTTGATTGAGTTTCATTGTTTGGGTGCGTTTGTCAGCGGGTGCACGCATTTATGCTCCTTTCACAGCATTTGGGAGCATCTGCTAGCATTTAGGGCTTTGGGATTTCCGCGTTTGAGGTTTTGGATTTTGCGGGGACGGGGTTTTGCAATTTGCCGAATTCTGAATACAGGACCAAAACTTTTAGCATCTTTTAGCGTTCGGGTTTCTCTGAATTTTTGTTAATGCGTGGGCTGGAGCGAGGGGGTCTAAGAGCCGAGGAAGGCATTTGGGGTTGTGCCCCGCAAACCCGAACACAGATGCCATCCGAGGCGCCGCTCGTTCCTGGGAGCCTTTGTGCTCACTTTGCCCATCGTGTGCCGTCGCTGCTTTAGCGTGTTGTGGTTTAGGGCTTAGGGTTTAGGGTAGAAGTATTTGGGTTCAGGGTCCCATTGGCTGAGACTTAGTTTGGGCTCATACTACGGAAGTTCAATGGACGAAGTATGTAAGTCGTCAGCTATTGAGACCTAGGGCCTAGGGTCTATGTCACCCCACCCGTTTTAAAGTCCGAAGCTTCCTGAGGTCGCAGTCAGAAGTCATGCACCAAATCAGAAACAGTCCGTGGAGTTTAGGTGAGCAGCGATCCCGAACAAAAAGTTCTTAACCCGGACACCGAAAAAACCCTGCAACTATAAACCTTAGAGATACCGTACCCAAGTTGCATTCCGTCTGTGGCCAAGTTTGTGATTCCGTTGGCGTGCTTCTTAGAATTAGGAGGCCTTGTCTGCTTTTTGAGACGGGGCGGGTATGATCAGGATCCCACTGTCTAGAATCTACACTAAGAACCTTCAACTTCGTTGTGTTGTCTCAACAGTTGCTCGTGGTGGCGTGCATTTCAACAGGACTCGCTCGCCGACCTTCGCTTCAAGACCCTAAACCCCGAACCCCAAACGGTTTGGGGTTTAGGGTTTAGGGTTTACCTAAACCCCGAACCTTAAACCCGAAAGACCAGTAAGATTCAAAGCAAGGCCGGGCTTGTTTTTATCAGACCCACCCCCCGCCAGGAAGCCGAGTAAAGGACCTGAGTATCAGGATCCGTATCACACGATTTAGGGTTAGTGTGTTAGCCTATAGGGTTTTAGGGTTGAGGGTGTAGGGCGTAACCCTAAACCCTCAGCCGGGCCGTCGGGCTCCAACCACTCAGTAACAGTTGAATAATCGTTTGAATGTAGGGGTTTAGGGTTTAGGGGTAATTGTTTCAGGTGGGGTTTAACGTCCTGATACTGCGGTAGCTGAAGGCTCTTGATGTGGGTGGTCGCCCCCATGCCGGCTCTGAAACCCTATTTGATGCTGAATGGCATCGACATCGCACCTAAGTCGCAAAGCACGGAGGGTCCGCTGTTAAGGGATAAGGTCGCTGATTATGATTATGGGAAAAACGTACGTCCAGCAGCCCAAAAAGCAGCAACAACAAAAGATTTAGATTCCCTCTGAACCCTAAAAACTTTATCCGTACAACCGAATTGCAGCGGCCCCAACATTTTGAACTAGAGAAGCTGAGAAAGCGCGGCACGCACGGCAGTTTGGAGGGTTAGGGCTTAAGGTTTTAGGTTAGATTTAGGGTTGAGGGTTTGGGGTTTAGGTTTTAGGGTTTCGGCTTGAGGTTTTAGGGTTGCAGGGTCCAAAGTGTTTTTACCTAAGGCATACGGCCAACCAGAGTAATGTTGGCTCCCGATGAATAACCCACCCCGGTTTCCATAGATGGGTCAGCAGCAGCAGCAGCAGGAGTAGTAGTAGTAGTAGTAGTAGTAGTAGCAGCAGCAGCAGCAGCAGCATCCCTACAAGCGATGACAGCATGGTCAATCTAGTTAGGTTTAGTAAGCGGGAATGTGCATGCAAAGATGACCGACTCAATCATTTGCAGCTGAAGGGCAGTACTTGTTGGGCAAGATGGAGCTGATGCAGCTAGTCTACGTTGATGGCATGTCGTGGATCATTGTGAAATGTGAGACCGTGCTTGGACCTCACACAAATGCGTTTTTTTGTGCTGCTTGGTCTGCCGCTTTCTCGGAAGAAGTTTCAGGGTGGGCTTGATTTCCTGTGTTGGATTCACGATCTGTGTGAAGTTGCACGCTTTGGGAAAGCAGAATTGACTAAGTCCCAAAATCCCTTGCCCGCGGTCCAGGGTCTGGGGTTAAGGATCCAACTAGTAGGGTTTTAGGTACCAAGCCGCAAACTCTGAATGTCTCTGAATGCGGTGCCCGCAACCCTACTTAGCACTTGGCCTCTTAAGGTAAAGTTGCTCGCTGGGCCAAGGCTGGTAACATGTGAATACAACGCATAAGGAACCATAGTGAGGAGCCTTTCTGGTAAGCACTGAAAACTCCTTTCTTTTCTCGGTGCTAGAAGTGTAGAAGAACGCCTTTCCAGAGCTCTTCTTTCTTTGTGCTAAGGATTGTAGAAGTATAAGAGCACCATGAAAGCTCTACGAAACACATGCAAAAAACCTCCAAGGATTTGCTACTTGGACGATCATGCGACTTAGTATCTAGGGTTATAACTACGGTAACTATAGTCATAACCACCTATAATCCCAATTACGGTGCTCATAGCCTTACTTACTACGTCCCGTATCCTCCAGGTAGCCTCAAACCCGTTTAGGGTTTTGGGGTTTAGGGTTTAGGGTTAAACCCTTCTAGAACCCTTCAGAGGGGCCCTTAATAGAAGCCTAATCATAGAACCCTTTAGACTCTAAGTACTTCCCTGAACCCTAAACGCTTATAGTTCCCCTATAGATCCTTGAAAGGGAAACCCTAAACCCTTATAGAGCCCTTTTAAAGGGATATGCATAGAGCCCTTTAAACTCTAAACCCTAAACCCTAAACCCTAAACCCTTTAAGCTCTAAGCATGCTCTGGCTCAGGCTGGTATTGCAATGTTCCTGTTGGCCACGCCCGTGCAGTTCGTCAGCGGTGGGGTTTTCTACCGGGAGACCTTCGAGGGCCTCAAGCACCGCTGCTGCGTCTGCAATGTTGGGTCTTTCTGTGTTTAAGGTTTAGGGGTTAGGGTCTAGGGCTTTAGGGTTTAGGGTTTAGGGCATGATGTGCTTTAGTAGGGCTGGCATAGCGTTTTAGTTATAAGGGTTTTTCCATAAGCAGTTTTCTTTTGTAGCTAGGGTCTGTAACAGCTTGATACTGATTTATAGGCTTATCCTTTTCAGAAGTCAGTGACACATCTCCACAGCACCGCTGCTGTGTCTGCAATCTTGAAGGTCGGCTTCTGTAGGGTGGTTCCAACTTGTTTAGGCTACTGGCCGTCGTATAGGGCTCTATGCGTCTTTTTCACGTTTTTCGGGGCCAGAGGGGTGTCCTTGTCAGGAATGGTGGGATGCCATCTTAAGTACGCGTCTTTATACAATATAGAAGCCAAAACGATTACCAACACTGTTCGTTGGGTTTCCTTGCTAAACATGCACCGTAAATAAAGGAACCCCAAACCCGCCCCTACGTTATTTGAAGGATCCGGGGGCTTGGTAAGTAGTTGTTTTATGGAGTTATAAGGACCGTAACAGCAATTAGGATCTCACTTCGGGCATTGACAACTCTGTCTACGTATTGCCTACCTGCTAAGTCCTCCGACCCTCCAAGTAGACAAAGCCCAAAGCCCTAAACATCGTTCATGCTACCCACCTGCATCCCACCTTTCGCGATCCTGTTAGAGATGATGGTGTGCATCGCATGCTGTCCTTTTTGAACCCAAAGGGTCCAGAGTACCTATATAGTAGAATGTAGGGTCCCTACTGTTGTTATGATTTGGGAAAGTATCCCCCATAACAGTACCTAGGACCCTTTGGGGAAGCCCGCCTATTGAAGCATGGGCGGATCGGTAAAAGTAGCCTAGAAAGGATTCATTCGAAAGAACCAGGATAATTCATGGGAGCTAAACCCTAAACCCTCAACCCTGGGGCGGGGGGAGCCCAGACTCCCCAAAGGTCTAGAAATAGAGCCCCTTTGTCTGGATCGCACAAGTCTGGGCAGCAGTCCAGAAAGCAGCGTTTTTCATGTGGTGAAGTTCAGACAACCCTAAACCCTAAACATCCCTAAACCCAGCCTCGAACGTAGAGCGTTTCGAACCGCCCGGGCCTCTGAACTTGGCAGGCAAAGTGTTTCAGTAGCACGAGCCTGAAATTGCCGCAAATCCCACCAAAGCCGCTAAGCCAACCTCTATCACCCAGTGTGCAGATGTCGCCTTAGTTCCCCAATACCCAACCTTTAAGCTTTTTGGGTTCTTGAAAGTTAGTACTATGTTTTCTTTCCCTGGCCTTTTTGGGGGAAGTAAGTCGGTTTCCCAACCCCCGGGCCCCCCTCCCGCAAACCCTAAGCCGAATTCTAGCAACCCTTCGGGCTCCGCTTCACATGGGGTAAAGCACTAAATTTGGGTTTAGGGTTTAGGGTTTCGGGTTTCCCTAAACCCTAAACCCTAAACCCTGAAGCATGGGGTAGTGCACTAAATTTGGGTCTAAGGGTTGCCTGGTCTCATTTTGGGGGACCTACAAGGGGCCAGATGTTTACCGAACCCTCGGCCCTAAACCCGAAACCCCAAAAGCCCTAAACCCTAAAGCCTTTACAGAACCCCGGGGTGAAGCCTCGGGCAGCACGTCTTGAGTCCCCATAAGTGTTCGGATGTAGGGTTCAGAGTATTTTAGGGCTTAGGATTTTGAATTCAGGGCGTTTTTTTTGAGGCGTGGGGGGGGGGCTTTCGGTTCTTTTTGTTGTGTCCTTTAAGGCCTTTAGGTTCAGGGTGGGTTTATTTGCAGTCATGTTTAGTGTTGCAGTGCCCAGGAAAGCTTGGCATGTCCGCGATGGTGGCTCTGGGCACAACAGCCGCTTACCTGTCCTCCTGTGCCTTCGATGCCAGCATCTGGCTTTCAGGCTTGGGTTACTAGGGTTTAGGGCTACTTTAGGGCCATGGTCCGATACGTATGGTTGTGGTCTTCTGGGCCCCAAGATCTGGCCGCCCGGGGTTCCACAATACGGAAGTCTCTAAAGGGCTTGAGGAACAGTTGGGTTGGTAGTACCACTCCTGAGAGCTATGGGTCATAAGCATATGTCAAGTTGAAACATAACCCAAAACTATATCCTGGCTAGGCCCCCATGGTACCTTGTACTTTGGTCGTCGACTTTTAGAGAATATGTTGATTTCGCCAAGCCCCAAAATGCCCTAGAGCAGAAGATGCCGTTCCCTACCTTGAAAAACAAACCTAGGACCACTAAAACCCATAATGCAGGGCCTTAACAATTAGAGTAGTATTTTGGTGTACATTATACTATAATTATAATAAGAAACCCCCAACACCCTATTCTTAGTATTAATGCCCCTATATTATTGCTCTTCTAAAGCCCTAAGACATCCTGAGACCCAGGTTACAACCCTACAAAGCGCTCCCTAAACCTTAAACCTTAATCCCTAAACCCTAAGCCCTACACTGTTAAAACCCGATAAAAGTACGTTCCCCAATACCCAGCCTTTAAACTTTTTGGGTTCTCACAATTTAGTAGTAACCTGAAAGTTTAACCTTTTATTTCCCGGGCTGATTGGGGAAGTAGGGTTTAAACCCGATAGAAACCCTGACTGAAAAGGTGCCCAGTTGCTCTGCAAGCTGCTCGCAAAGGAGGTCGGTGGGAACTCTGCTTACTTAGACCATGTAGGGTCGTAGCTTAAGGTCCCTGTAAAGGGCTCGATTAGGGTTCGATGATGAAAGGTCTATAGGGGTTTGGGTTAGAAGCTTCAATCATTCTCAACCTTATGTCCTCGAGTTTCTTATATCTATATTATAGAGGAGCCCAAAGCCCTATTCTTTTTATTAAGGCCCCTAACCTACATTACCCAGAAAGTCCAAAAACAGTTTAGGGCTTTGGGGCTTCAGGGCTTTGGGATTTCGGAGTCAAGGTTTGGGGTTTAGCGTTTAGGGTTAGTTCGCAGTCAAAGGTGTACCTTAAACCCTAAACCCTAAACTGTTAGGCATTGAGTCATTAGGATTTAGGGCTTGGAGGTTTAAGGAGTCGTCTCCGGCTAAAGATTGGGGCCTAAAGAATTACCTATACTATTTTGGGGGGCTCCTTATAATAAGTTTTCGTATGATGGGCCCCAAAACCCTATTCTAATTATTAAGGCCCCTATATTATGTGGGTTTGTAGGGCCTTCTCGGATCCGAGCCAAGCGATGTTTCGTAACTTCCTGAATCTCAAGGTGCCTCTGTGATTTAAGGTACATTGCTTAGTCTTTTAAAGTCTCTGTGTAGGGTTTGGAGGTCCAACCCCTAAACCCTGAACCCTAACGGTCCAACCCTTAAACCTTAAACCCTAAGCGTTTCGGACGGTTCTATGGAGATCCACTGGGTTTAGGGGGTTTAGGGTTCAGGGTTTAGGGTTTGGGGTGTTACAAGCGTTTATGGGTTTCGGTTATTATCTGCTTGAAGGATATGAGATTCGCTGACCAGAGCTAAACGTTAAATGAAATGAGTAGATCTACTGTGTAGTGTAGGTCCATAAGGTCGGACGTAAAGAAACTGTAATTCTGCGTAAAACCTACATAGTCCTCGGGGCTTGTGGTCTAGAGTTCCGCACTGGGTTTTGGTGTTCAGGGCTTCGTGTTTAAAGCTTGTAGAATCAGGGTCGGCAACTAAGTTTCTGCGTGCCGTGGTTGGGGTTATCTTTCGTGTACAATCCTGTCAACAGCTTATTGTGCAACGATCCCCGCTTTTTTGCTGGAAATTTAAATGCTGACCCCAAACTGGAGTCTTCCACGCAAGTGGTCCCTGGGTCGCGACTTCATGAAGCTGGACAGCAAAAAGCTATCCGTTTCAAACTTCCTCGCTGCACATTGGACAAGTAAATGCACGGTCCGCCTTACATCTGCGACATGATGGACAGAAACGTCGAAGCTTGTTTATTCCATTCTCATGTTCAACCCTTAGCTACAAGAACTTGAGGAAATCTGACACTGGCAGCCCGTTGTTTTTCCTGGCCCGTGGAAACGCTTGTCCGCCCTTAGAAGAGTTTAGATACTTCCAAGATTTGCATCCGTGCTCGAAGTTTGGGGGTGTATACTTCGTGTCTCCTGGGCCTCCACTGCATCTCGGAGCTGTGTAGGTTGTTTGAAGGGCGACATTGGTGACCGCACAGGTTCTGCAGGCTTGTTAAGGGAGAGCAGGGGTGGGGGGGGTGAGGAGGGCTGCGGAGGGACCCGACCCTGTGTGCTCAACAATCAGGGGACATATATACAATGTAACATAACTATAACTTTAATTATATGTTCATATGCAGTACTGGCATGGCTGCTACGTCATGTTCCCTGCAGATCACACGCTGCATGGTTTGAACCCTGGGAGAAGATCGAGGGCTTTAGCTGGCACTCCGCCCGAACATGTTTTCACCGGCAACACGAGGGTCGGGGGGAGCTCTAGAACCGAAATGTCCTGCTTTAGGGGTACGCATGAAAAGGATCCGAGACTTTTAAGCTATGTGTATGGGAGGCCCTTGTTGTCTGAATCTCCCACACTGCCGAGAGTGAATCGTCCGATGCGTCTCTATGAAGCGTTCGCAAAATTTCCACGAGATATCAACAGATAGTTAGCCTGAGATAGGAGTGCGCATTTGCAAATGTTCGGACATGTCGTGGGCAACGCAATAGAGTTTGACAAGGGCTACGTAGCCAGACCTTCCCGCCGCGCCTGGTCATTGTGTGTGAGCGCGTTCTTGGCCTCTTGGCCCATGCGTGCGGCCACCGCAGCATGCAGTGCCTCAGTTGTGTGAAAGCACGCGAAGTGGCATCAACCATGAGCAAAAACCCCGAACACTACAGCTTTCGTGCCCCTGAATAGTTGGAGCTTCTTTGAATGATGCGACCTACTGGCAGCGCAGGGTTTCGATAAACTCAGAGATCCATCAACATCTTCAGCCCCAAACCTTCGTTGAAACCTTATACTGTTATTTCCACTTCAAGCTTTCATTAAGATGTGGTCCATGAATGCTTAAAACCATCCGTGCGAGAGTTGGATGTTAGTTCTAGGTCGTGAGCAGACTTATAAGTAAGATAACCCAGCTTAAAGTAGTTCCAGGCCGCTTCATTTTAGGAGCTGCCTGCTTAGCCATTCAACCCTTTGAAACAACGAGACCCCAAGCGCAACCGCTACTGTGAACACGAGGTGCCTGATCAATTAGCAGTACAGCGGGATCCGAAAATTGATTCAGCAGGTTTTAGGTTATATGTAACACAGAGGTGGTCAGCTAAAACGGTGCTTTCACACGGTTTTCTCACAGCTTCAGAAGTTAAGGTGTATAGGTTCCGGAAGGAGATACTTGTACGATGATTAATTTGTCTCTTAATGCGATGGCCCCGGTCAAGGCGTTTCGGACTTTATTTAATCTAGGGCCGCTTACAAAATCTCCTGATCCGTTGACATAAAGGCAGCGGTCATGAGCCTGGACTTTGACACCTCTTCCTTGCTCATTGCCTTTGTGGCTTGGCTTCTGATCACGTCCAGTCTAAGTGTTGTGGGGTTCGTCTCGGTTTTTGTGATACAAACCTGATAAGCTCATGTTGTATTCTGATAGGCTGTCATGGGCTTCAGAAGGGCACTACAAGCATTGACAGGGCCTGGCAGGGCTTCCGTTTCAAGGGTGTTGCGAGCAAGAGGTTCTGCATAAGATCTACACGCTCGGTTCCCAGATGCCCAAGAAGATTTGGATAGATGGAGAACCAGTAATCCAAAAATGACGTTCAAGGCCTGACCTTCGCATTTGCTTACTGCGAACCAACTGTTTTCGGCCATAGAAACAGTTTTTTTTCTCAGCAGGAGGGCAAACCATAGATATTCCTGAGCTGCGGAATCGGTGGCTCGCTGACAACCACTGGACCCTATGAAATTCCGTTGAACCCGATATGCCTCGATAAAGTAGAGCGTCCGTGTTTATATATATATATATGTAGATGTAAATCTAGATGTGGATGTGTGAATGTGTGCACGCATGTATGTACGTGTACACATGTACGCACAGATACATTTACATTTTGCATGTACGACCTATATTGACAAACCTGCCATGGCATGTTTGAAGCCTCACCGATACCATCATGTAGCCACCGGGCTTTGCGAGAGCCTTCTAAGCCCGCGAGCCTAAGCATTTAAACCCGAAGATGAGGCGGGAAGTCTCATTATGGAATCTTTGGTTTCCGCCGACCTTTTGCATTAGTTGGACAGGGTTTAGGGCGTAGGGTTCGTGTCGACGGGTTCGGGTTTAACGTGGAGGTCGTTTCGTCGCAGAGCTGCCCGGTATGGTTGTGTTTACAAGGTCTCATGAGGCTTGAGAGGTTGCTGTCGGGCTCATCCGGGAGTCATACTGGGGAGATCATGGCACTGGGTAAGAGGTTATAAGTACCTTAATCGTTGTTGGTATCTAATTGTAATTATATCTGATGTGTAGCCCTAGTTACTACGTCCCATGATCCTCTAAACTGGCCTGCTGGCACCAGACCATTAAAGGGCTCCCTATTCAAAAGGCTTCCGTAAAGCGTTCTATGAGGGTCATGTTGGTGCTTTGTTGCTGCAGCTGGTTTTGGGGCATTAAGGGTTTTCGTGCTTGAAGGGTTTCTGGTGTTTGACTTTTTTCGATATCATAAAAACCCTAAACGCTACCGCTACACTAGGGTTTACGGCCTTTTAATTTAAGATTTCGGGTGTGGGGCGCGGGGCTTCTTTATTTGTTGTATCCAATTAAACGGATTGGCAGCGCTTAAAACCTTAAAACAAAAAATCTTGAGGTGCTCCTGGGGAAGTGGCTGGAGTGCCGAGCGCCGCTTCACTCAACTTTCAGATTCCGGGCGATCAGGGTTGATGGTTCGGGAGGTATATGCACCTTCTTGCAGGCATTTAGGGTGTAGGATTACAAGTTTTTAGGTCGTCGTTTTTAGAGGTCCCGAATGAAGACCTTTAACCCTGTAGACCCCTAAACCCTAAACTTTAAGTGGGTACATGGCACTGACCAGTCTTAGGACCTGCCCTGCCTGGCAGTGTGCGTGGGATGTACAGTGTCAGCGCTCGGTACGCTCCTTTAGCTGTAGTTAAAATGCTCACCTATCGTAGCAGGCATCACCCCGAGGCGTGGTTTTGCAGTGGCTCTGGGCCCAGCTCATTGCGCCTGGCAGAGTTTTTGCGTAAGTCGGACTTTGTGTTGACACGGCCACTGCTTCAGCTGCGACAGGCTTGTTGTACAGTATCTCTTGCATGAAAATGTTGAAAGGCTGTCACTTCTTGTTGGGTCACGGTGTTCAAAGAAAATAAGACATGGGTACTCAATATCGACCCTAAGTGGTACAGTCTATCCCAAGAGGGACCCCACGTACGGTTGAGGGGTTCGCTTCAAGAACTGCGATTCGCGCTTTAGGATGTATTGGTAGCTAATGTAGACGCCCTCATTGATAAACCGCCTACTTTCCACTTGATAAGGAATAAGGGTTACAGGGCTACGATGAATCGCTTCCCCCATGTAATTTATTGACCACAATAGTAATGACAATACAGAAGTAGTAATAATATTCTTAACAGTAACAATAAACGCACCTTCCTGGGAATCCACTTGAAATCATCCCCGCCTGTTAAAGCCTGTTTTGAACTAGGGGGATGTTTTAACAAGAGCAAGAGCAGAAGCAAGAGTAGGAGCAAGAGCAAGAGCAGGAGCATTAGGGGGAATGGATTATTATTGGGGCCCTTCAGAGTGTACATGAATCAGTGGTCCAGGTTTTAGCTCGCTTTCAATCGTAGGTTTAGAAAGGATCCATGATTGGGAGCCCAGAGGTCTGTGTTTGCGGAGATTTAGGGTTGAACAGAAGATCCTGTTCTAGCTTTTGGGGTTCAGGTTAAGGGTTTATGGCTTAGGGTTTTAGGGCGAGGCCTACGGAATTCAAGGCTTCGCAGCAATATGAGACAATCCTTACAATACTTGCATTACAACATCCCCACCAAGCGCCGAGTCTTTTGTTTGAAAAGGAGGTTCTTGAGCTGAGGGCTATTCGGCTTATTGTTGAAGGCCGCAGGTGCAATCTAGGGCTTGAATGCATGGTCATCGTATCTTTTGTAGTTCCTTGTAGCACAATATACCCACAGAGTCCTATTCTGGCAGTGCCGTATCTGTGCCTTAAACACTGAAGCTCCCCAACCCAATCCTAAAAAACCTTGAAAACACAGTAAGCACGCAAAATGAAAGCGTTAACGTTCCCCACCCAACCCCATTTTTGCCGACCCTTCACAAAAGGCAAGAAATAGACCAACCTAAAGCACAACAGTTCCCCAATTTGCTTGAGGCCCTTAAACCCTAAACCCTAAACCCTAAACCCTAAACCCCAAAACCTACAATCTAAGAAGATTGAAAGTTCCCTCAAGGAAGGGCAGCACTGGTGACGCCATCACCGCGTTGCTGTCTCTGCAGCCGCAGACTGCCCTCCTGGTACGGGAGCCGCCTTCTTTCGGGTGTAGTAGGGTTTTGGGGAAGTCTAGCGTTCGAGGTTGTTCTGTTTTTAGGGTTAAGCGTTGAAGGCAAGGTTAGAGGGAACCCATCTAGGTTTTAGATCGTTCTCATTTTGGGGTTCAGTTAGGATTTTGACTTGTTTTTCACGTAAATCAGGATGTTGGTTCTTGCTTGTTGTGGCTTCCGTGTCTTTGGGGTCTAGGGCTCCTACCCTTGTAGCGGCCCTTCTAGAATACTACGGTTGATGATATGGGAGTTTCCGAAAATTAGGGTATCCTATTTGG